TGGATACCTGAATGTCAAAAATAATACAGGTTGAACCTCCCAAATCCTGGACTCTCTGGTCCGGCAACATCTGTGGTCCAGCACGGATGTTGCTGGACCAAAGAGCTTCAGGAGCAGGAGCCAGCCGAGAGAATAAAGGTTTGCGAAGTCCCAGCTGGGCCAACAGTGGCTAGGCAGGGGAATCCTGGCATCAGTGGGCCCCCCCCCCCCCCCCTACTGGGGAACCCCGTTATCAGTGGAGTCAGGCAGGGCCCAGCCAGGGAACCCCAGGAATCCCCCAGCAGCAGCAGGAAACCCTAGGAAATGCTTGGCAGCAGCAGGATCAAACAATAGACCGGGAATCCCAGCTCCCAATAGAGGAACCCCAGCATCAGTAGGGCCCAGCTGGCATCGGGGAGTCTCTGCCCTGACTAGGGAACCCTGGTGTGAGTGGAATCAGGTGGCAAGGGAGCCCCTGCTAGCAGGCCAGTGGTGGCCAAGAAACCCTAAGAAACCTTTGGCAGCAGCAGGGCCTGGGGTTGGGGAACCCCTGGGAACCCTGAGTGCAGCTGGCGGGCAGCAGGGTAGGGAGCTTTGGCCAGGCCAGCTTTAGCAGGGCAGCGGCAAGGGTGGGGAACCCAAGCCAGGGATAGGAGCTGTCAGTGGAGCCTTGACCTTCCCTGGTCCAGCAAATTCCTAAGTCCAGGATGGCTCAGGTCCCGAGAGTACCGGACCAAGGAGGTCCAACCTGTAGTAATGAAATTTGGCCAATCTGCTTGGATTTTATTTCACTGAAATATGACCTGACCCCACAAATGTTATAGCCTAAAGGCAGATGCAGCCATCTGCCATTTTATTTTGTTGAGACTTGATCCAATCAAGGCAGCTGCTATTTTCGCTAACAATGGCATTGAACAAGAAATCTAAAAAGCTACACATATGAATAGCTACAGCTTGAGGTGCTGTTACAGACCAGTTTAAGTTTTCTGGTCTGTGTTATTCAGGAGCTCAAATTAGAATGTTCTGGCCTCCAAATCTATAATTCTACAGATGTCAACGCAGAGCCATTGATTCTTTTAGAGCACATGATTTCTGGCTTTGCCATGGGAAAAGTTGCCCATTACAGAGTCGTAGATCCCAAAGCCAGGAGGGACCATGTAATCATAAGTTCACGATACTAAGGAACAGTAGAAGACAGTGCTTTTTTTGTGACAGTAAGCCCCAGGATGACATACTGGCACCTATTTTGCCATCATAATTTGAATGAAATTCCCCTCTGGCCGACTGGCACCTATTTCCTGGGGTGGCTTTTTTTGCTCAACAACTTTTCTGTGGGTTTTTTTCCCCCTCTCAACAACTTGGAGTACTGACACCTTCTTTTCTTATAAAAAAAAACAAAACAAAAAAAAACACACTGATAGAAGGGAAAACAGCAAAACAGAGACAATGAATTTCAAGAAGGCAGATTTTAGTAAACTCAGAGATCTGAATGATAAAGTCCCCTGGGAAGCAAGATTATGAGGAAAAACAATTGAAGAGAGTTGGTAGTTTTTAAAGGGACATTATTATTAAGGGCCCAAAAGCAAACTATTCCACAGTGTAGGAAAGATAAAAAGTATGGCAGGAGACCACCTTGGATCACCCACGAGATCTTACATGAACTAAAAATCAAAAAGGAATTGTATAAAAAGTGGAAACTAGGTCAAATGACAAAGGATGAATATAAGCAAACAACACAGGTATGCAGGGGCAAGAGTATAAAGGCAAAAGCACTAGGGGTATGTCTAGACTACATGGCTCTGTCGACGGAGCCATGTAGATGAGTTTACTACACATTGGAAAATGAAGCGGCGATTTAAATTTACATCAAAATGGCCGCTGCACTGTGCCAATCAGCTGTTTGGCAGCGATAGTCTGGACACGCCGTTGTCGACAAGGGAAGCCCTTGTCGACCGCTTCGTTATGCATCGTGAAATGAGGTTTACCGGAGCAGTCGACAAAGGCTTCCCTTGTCAACTGTGGCGCATCCAGACTACCGCGCTGTGCCGCCAAACAGCTGATTGGCACAGCGCGGCGGCCATTTTGATGTAAATTTAAATCGCCGCTTCATTTTCCAATGTGTAGTAAACTCATCTACATGGCTCCGTCGACAGAGCCCTGTAGTCTAGACGTACCCAAAGAGAGCTAAATCTAGCTAGAGGCATAAAGTGTACCAAGAAGATGTTCTACAAGTATATTAGGAGCAAGAAGACGACCAAGGATAAAGTAGGCCCATTGCTCAGTGAGAGGGAGAAACAATAACAGGAAACTTAGAAATGGCAGAGGTGCTTAATGGCTTCGTTTCAGTTTTCGTCAAGAAGCTGGATGGTGACGGGATGCCTAACATAGTGAATGCTAGTGGAAATGGGGTAGGTTTAGAAGTTAAAATAAAAGTACAAGTTAAAAATTACTTAGAAAAGTTAGATGTCTGCAAATCACCAGAGCCTGATAAAATGCATCCTAGAATACTCAAGGAGCTGATAAAGCTATCATCTTTGAAAAATCATGGATGTTGGGAGAGATTCCAGAAGACTGGAAAAGGGCAAATCTAGTGCCCATCTATAAAAGGGGAAATAAGAACAACCTAGGAAGCCACAGACCAGTCAGTTTAACTTCTGTGCCAGGGAAGATAATGGAGCAAGTAATTAAGGAATTCATCTGCAAACATCTGAAAGAAAATAAGGTGACAGGTAACAGCCAGCATGGATTTGTAAAGAACAAATCATGTCAATCCAATTTGATAATTTTCTTTGACAGGATAACAAGTCTTGTGGATAAGGAAGAAGTGGTAGGCATGGTATACCTAGCCTTTAGTAAGGCATTTGATATAGTTTGGCATGACCTTATCAATAAACTAGGGAAAACAACCTAAATGGGGCTTCTATAAGGTGGGCGCATAACTGGCTGAATAGTCATTCTCAGAGAGTAGTTATTAATGGTTCACAATCCTGCATAACAAGTGGGGTTCCACAGGGGTCTGTTTTGGGGCCAGTTCTGTTCAATAACTTCAACAATGATTTAGATGATGGCATAGAGAGTACTATTACTAAGATTGCAGATGATACCACACTGGGAGGAGTTGCAATTGCTTTGGAGGATAGGGTCAAAATCCAAAAAGATCTGGACAAACTAGAGAAATGAGGTAAACAGGATGAAGTTTAATAAGGACAAATGCAAAGTCCTCCACTTAGGAAGGAGCAATCAATTTCACACATACAGAATGGGAAGTGATTGTCTAGGATGGAGTACTGCCGAAAGAGATTTAGGGGTCATAGTGGATGACAAGTTAAACACGAGTCAACAGTTTGACACTGTTGCAAAAAAAGCAAACATGATTCTGGGAGAAATGTAGCCGTGTTAGTCTGGTGCAGCTGAAACAAAAAACAGGAATGTGTAGCACTTTAAAGACTAACAAGATGGTTTAATAGGTGATGAGCTTTCGTGGGCCAGACCCACTTCCTCAGATCAAATAGTAGAAGAACATAGTCACAACCATATATACCAAAGGAAACATTTTTTTAAAATTGTATCCTTTGGTATACAGGCAGTCCCCGGGTTACGTCAATCCGACTTACGTCAGATCCCTACTTACGAATGGGGCTTTTCTTGCCGCGGAGGATGCGGGCGGCAGGACCGCCCAGATGCGCCGCAGTCCTGCCGCCTGCAT